CCTCACCGCGGCCCCGAGCCCCCGAGCACCGCGCGACCCTGCCGGCGCCGCGCCCGCCTCGCCGTGGTCCCGCCTCCCCGGCTGCGAGCCTACGCCGCCTCGCCCACGGCACGGCCTGCCTCCTTGCCTGCGCGCAGCCACGCCCAGGCGGCCATCGAACTGCATGTCGAGCAGGAGGTACAGAGAAAAGGAGGAGAGAGAAAGGGATGGGTGGGTGGATGGGCTCCTTTGGTTTCATTGACAGGCGGGCCAGGGGTCACATGCAAACGGACGAGGCCGGACGAAGACGCAGCCCAAAGTGTCCGCTTTGAACCCAAACCCAGCTCAAATTTACGTTCAGGATGGAGCGAGACGGACAAGAAACAGACGTTTTTTACAGATGGAGTCTGTGCGTTGGACCGTCTCATATGTCCGTTTAATTTCAAGCGGACAGACGCGGATAATTTAAGGTCGCGCGGTGGAGTTGGCCTAACCCGCACCCAGCGGACCGTCGTCTCATGTACTTGTACGTCCACCCGCTGGCCCCACCCGCCGTCGCCGCGTCGGAGAGCCGAACGACGTGAAAGCGCAGCGCGGTAGAAACGGGGTTTCACCGGCAGCCGCAGTGACAGCCTGTCCGACTGACGCGCTCGTAAAAGCGCGCTTAACGTTAACTAAGCACCTCACAAAGCGCGCTGCTCCATGCTTTCCCCCTCTCTCCCGCACAGCTTTAACGCCAGTGGCCAGACGATAGAGAAACGATAATACTAGATTCACGGGCAATCAGCGACGGACTTTCACGGACACAGGTGCGTTCCCTTCTTTAATTGGCCCCCCCTGATTTTCAGTGGTGGGGCCCGCCTCACTTAATTAAACCTCAACCAATCAAATCGTAACCACCCCGTAAGAGCCCGTGTGTCTAGCATTACTCATAGAGAAAAGGCGGGGAGACGAAAACAAAAATAAAAAACACACGCGCGCGTACCACCCCTCGTAAATAAAACGGCCTCGAAACCCACCCAAACCCGTCCAAAACCCCGCTCCTTTTCTTCCCCCCTCCCTTCCCCTGCCTACGCAAACGCTCGCTCTCCCCTCCCTCCATCTCCATCTCTCTCCGCCTCCTCTCATGAAAGCCTAAATGCCAAAGCCGTCGAGCTCACAATGACGATGCCGCGAGACAAAGCGGCCCGCTGCCGAACCTCCTCCCCCGTGGCCAGCGCGATGCCGCTGCTCTTCCTGCTCGTCATGGTCGCCGCGGCGGCGGCGGCCACGCCGTCGCCGCCGGTGCCGCGCACGGCGGAGGTGCAGGCGGAGGTCGACGCGCTGCTCGCGTTCCGCGCGGCGCTGCGCGACCCCTACGCGGCCATGGCTGGCTGGGACGCCGCCTCGCCCTCCGCGCCCTGCTCCTGGCGCGGCGTGGCCTGCGCGCCGGGCGGCACCGGCCGCGTCGTCGAGCTGCAGCTCCCGCGCCTCCGCCTCGCCGGCCCGCTCTCCCCCGCACTCGCCTCGCTCCGCCACCTCCAGAAGCTCAGCCTCCGCTCCAACGCGCTCTCCGGGGCCATCCCGCCGGCGCTCGCCCGCCTCGCCTCGCTCCGCGCCGTCTTCCTCCAGGACAACGCGCTCTCGGGCCCCATCCCGCCGTCATTCCTCGCCAACCTCACCGCCCTCGAGGCCTTCGACGTCTCCGCCAACCTCCTCTCCGGCCCCGTCCCGGCCGCGCTCCCGCCCGGCCTCAAGTACCTCGACCTCTCCTCCAACGCCTTCTCCGGCACCATCCCGGCCGGCGCCGGCGCCTCGGCCACCAGGCTCCAGCACTTCAACCTCTCCTTCAACCGCCTCCGGGGCACCGTGCCGGCGTCGCTCGGGGCCTTGCAGGACCTGCATTACCTCTGGCTGGACGGCAACCTTCTCGAGGGGACCATCCCGTCGGCGCTCGCCAACTGCTCCGCGCTGCTCCACCTCAGCCTCCAGGGGAACGCGCTCCGCGGCATTCTGCCGGCCGCGGTCGCGTCCATACCGTCGCTGCAGATACTCTCGGTGTCGCGCAACCTGCTCTCCGGCGCCATCCCGGCCGCGGCTTTCGGCGGCGAGAGGAACTCCTCGCTGCGCATCCTGCAGCTGGGGGACAACCAGTTCTCCATGGTGGATGTGCCCGGTGGGCTCGGCAAGGGTCTCCAGGTCGTGGACCTGGGGGGCAACAAACTGGGCGGCCCGTTCCCCACATGGCTCGTCGAGGCCCAGGGGTTGACGGTGCTCAACCTTTCTGGCAATGCATTCACCGGCGACTTGCCGGCGGCGGTCGGGCAACTTACTTCGCTGCAAGAGCTGCGCCTTGGAGGCAATGCTCTCACTGGCACAGTGCCTCCGGAGATTGGCAGATGCGGTGCTCTCCAGGTGCTTGTTCTTGAGGAGAACAGCTTCTCCGGCGAGGTTCCTGCAGCCCTTGGCGGCCTCAGGCGGCTCAGAGAGGTCTATCTTGGTGGAAATTCTTTCTCAGGCCAGATTCCGGCTGCTTTGGGGAACCTCTCCTGGCTGGAAACACTGTCAGTACCGAAGAACCGGCTCACCGGTGGCTTGCCAAATGAGCTCTTCTTGCTGGGCAACCTGACATTCCTGGACCTCTCTGATAACAAGCTCGCCGGTGAGATTCCTCCTGCAATCGGCAGCCTGCCTGCTCTCCAGAGTTTGAACTTGAGCGGCAATGCCTTCTCAGGCCGCATTCCGTCGACCATTGGCAGCCTGCTGAACCTCCGAGTTCTTGATCTCTCTGGTCAGAAGAACCTCTCGGGCAATCTCCCCACAGAGCTTTTCGGTTTGCCACAGCTGCAGCATGTGTCGCTCGCCGACAACTCGTTCTCCGGCGATGTCCCAGAAGGGTTCAGCAGTCTGTGGAGTCTGCGGCACCTTAACATCTCAGTCAATTCTTTCTCGGGGTCAATCCCGGCCACCTATGGGTACATGGCATCCCTCCAGGTGCTCTCGGCCTCCCACAACCGCATCTCCGGCGAGGTGCTAGCAGAGCTCGCCAACTGTTCCAACCTCACCGTGCTTGACCTCAGTGACAACCATCTGACTGGCCCAATACCGAGTGACCTCTCGAGGCTTGACGAACTGGAAGAGCTCGACCTCAGCCACAATCAGCTGTCCAGCATGATACCACCAGAGATCTCCAACAGTTCCTCACTTGCCACTCTCAAGCTTGATGACAACCATCTCGTCGGTGAGATACCGGCCTCTCTTGCCAACCTCTCGAAGCTGCAGACGCTTGACCTGTCATCCAACAACATCACAGGCAGCATCCCTGTTTCATTGGCTCAGATTCCAAGCCTTGTGTCATTCAATGTGTCACACAATGACCTTGCCGGAGAGATACCGCCGGTGCTCGGCTCCCGCTTTGGCACACCCTCGGCATTTGCTGCCAACCGAGACTTGTGTGGTCCGCCATTGCAGAGCGAATGCGGTGAGTACCGGCGGCGCCGGAAGCGACAGAGACTGCAGCGCCTGGCTCTGCTGGTTGGCGCCGTGGCTGCTGCATCACTGCTCCTCCTGTTGCTGTGCTGCTGCTGTGCGTTCAGCTTGCTGCGGTGGAGGCGCCGGTTTGTTGAGCGGCGTGATGGCGTCAAGAAGAGGCGGCGCAGCCCTGGACGGGGCAGTGGGTCGAGCGGCACAAGCACGGAGAGCCAGACGAAGCTGGTCATGTTCAATTCCAGGATCACCTATGCCGACACGGTGGAGGCGACGCGGCAGTTTGACGAGGAGAATGTGCTTAGCCGTGGCCGCCATGGACTCATGTTCAAGGCCTGTTACAGTGAAGGAACCGTGCTGGCCATCTTACGGCTCCCTTCAACCTCAGCCGATGGCGCCGTGGTGGTGGAGGAGGGCTCGTTCAGGAAAGAGGCCGAGTCTCTAGGCAGGGTGAAGCACAGAAACCTCACCGTCCTTCGTGGCTACTACGCCGGGCCGCCGCCGGATGTCCGTCTGCTGGTGTACGACTACATGCCGAATGGCAACCTCGCCACATTGCTCCAGGAAGCGTCTCACCAAGACGGCCACATCCTCAACTGGCCGATGAGGCACCTCATCGCCCTCGGCGTCTCCCGCGGCCTCGCGTTCCTCCACCAGTCCGGCGTCATCCACGGAGATGTCAAGCCACAGAACATACTCTTCGACGCCGACTTTGAGCCACACCTGTCTGATTTTGGGCTGGAGCCAATGGTGGTGACCGCGGGCGCCGCCGCGGCCGCCGCCGCTGCATCGACATCGGCCACGACACCGGTTGGATCACTCGGCTATGTCGCCCCAGACGCGGCGACCGCCGGACAGGCTACAAGGGAGGGCGATGTCTACAGCTTCGGCATCGTGTTGCTGGAGCTGCTCACCGGCCGGCGCCCCGGCATGTTCGCCGGCGAGGACGAGGACATCGTGAAGTGGGTGAAGCGGCAGCTGCAGTGCGGGGCGGTGGCGGAGCTGCTGGAGCCGGGCCTGCTGGAGCTGGACCCGGAGTCGTCGGAGTGGGAGGAGTTCCTGCTGGGGATCAAGGTGGGTCTGCTGTGCACCGCCTCCGACCCGCTGGACCGGCCGGCGATGGGCGACGTGGTGTTCATGCTCGAGGGCTGCCGCGTCGGCCCGGACATCCCCTCCTCCGCCGACCCGACCACCCAGCCGTCCCCGGCGTAGTACTCTCCGGCGTCCCTCAGCCGGCATTCGTCATGTCAGATTCAGTTCAGTAGCTTGTACTCTACCATTTTTTCTGTAATTCTTTTCCTAGTTCAGATTAGCGTTTGGCGCCGCAGCCTCATGTGCCCGCCAAGCAAGTGGGTGGGGGAAGTAGCCGTTGGGGTTTCTGATCTCGTGGTTAGGGGGGAGGTCAGGTGGCCATGTGGGTGGTGCTTGGCATGATGCTCCTCCTGTGCCATGGCATTGTCGCCGAGCTTAGTGGGCGCGCATGTGGCCCGCCGCAGCAACGGCTACTGATGCAGGATACGGGCTGTGTCTCCTCTCTCCTCCTATGTACTCTCTGTGTACTCTGTTAGGAAATTGATTCGTGTGGGGGCCTGCTTGGCTTCTTGGGATCTCTTGTCTTCAATACTCATCATTTTTACAAGTGCATTGCATGGCCGCGGCCAGATCTTTGTAATGTCGTGCTGTGCATTTTGTCTGAATCTTGTTATCCATCTCCATTGATCCAAGAGGATCGGGGAAATGATGCTTCATGACCGTTAGCTTGTTGTTTTCCTCTGCACAGAATGATTAGTGCCGAGATCTTGTATTCTGTTGGAGTATTTTAACTTTGCCCTGGATAATGAGGAGGGGGGCCTGCTTATCCTTCGTCGGGCTGGATGGATACGCTTTCTGTTAGTGCACCTTGTTTTACTATGCCAATTTGGGCGGAGGATAATGATTTGGAGCAGTGGCCTCACTTGGCCTGGACGGCCACCACCTCTGTACGCTTATTTGGCAATTAGCGGGAGATCTTGGTACAACGGCACTCCACCGTCGTACTTTCCTTGAGCATCGAGTAGATCTCATCAGTTGGGCGCACGGTGAGATACGGTCAGATGGCCACTGTTGCTGCACAATCAGGACCTGCATTATACGTATCAGCTATTGAAATCTGGAAACTTGAATGTGCATTTATGTCCACTGCCGAGGACAGCCAGTTTTGCAAGAGTGGATGTGCCATCAAGGTGCTTGAAATGAGCCACAGTAAGTATGAGTAGTAGTACTAGTACCGCTACGTTCAGCATTTCCCGTTTCAGAACAATGTAGTACGTACCTGACTGAATCTACGCGACATCAACTGAATATACAGTAGGACTCATACGCCGTCGTTCATCCATGCCACAGGGGGTCAAAGGAGTCAAGGAGTCAAGGCCAGTAGATCGACCTGCCTGCCTGCGACTCGAGGCAGCACCGACGATTTTTATTACTGCCACCCGTTTTCGTAGTTTGAACCTGAGCAGAGGGGCGTCGACGAGTGAATGCAACAAACCTAGGGCGTCTTGTCAACCAGATGGCACCCTAGCTGCAGCTCGTGCTAGCGTGTAGCTGTTCGGCCGGGATCTTGACCTACGAATTCACGGAAAAACGGTGGCAGTACGTAGCATGTGCCGTCCATTGAACGAACGAACCCGGGCAGGCAGCGAGCGACTTGCGGTGACTGTTGCATTTGCATGACACCCACCGTGTAGGTGCAGGTGCAGGCAGCAGGCCTGGTGTCTGCAGGGTGCAGTAAATTTCGTCGTCAGGGCTCAGGGAAAAGGCTGGGGGAGCTGGGCGCTGAATTATTGGGGAGCCACCTACACCTACGCGGGCATTCAGTTCGTAGCGGCGTCTGGTGCTACGAGTAAATTTTTGCTGGAGTGGAGTGGAGTGGGGTGAAGCTAGCTGACCGCGGCCACGTTTTTGCTCTGCGGGATAGGGCGCGCACTGGCTTCTTCTGCATGATGGAGACAACAGTCCTATACCGCTCGGCATGGGAGCTACAGATGCCGTTATGTTTCTTCATGTGCTCTGCTGTCACTTTGTCACGGTTCTACTACCCTTCTGGACTTTTTACTCTCGGTTGTGGCCTCGTACTCTATAAAGAAATATAAAATCTTAGTAATCTAAGATGTCTTATACTGTATTTCTTTGCAGAAAGAGTACTAGGGGATTTTTTCGAGTGCTATCAAAACTGCAAGACAGTTTTTCCGGTTCTAGATTGACTGTACAACGTTGATCAGCTCTTTGCCTAGCTCGACCTCGACTTCTGCTGCCCTCCCGACTCCCATCTATAGCTCTCTGTATATGTTTTTGATGCAATCCTATTTAGGCTGCACGGTGCCATTTTATGTATTAAGCACCTTCTGCAGGTCTGTTTTTATGTTTCCCATTGAAGCTTCTTGTGAACTAGGCATTTGTGTTCGGGCTTCTTATGAAATGGAGTCAGGGAGCTCTCCCAGTTGATCTAAACTATTTAAAATTGTCGAGCAACGGTTACTATATAGTTTCACATCGTTGTTGCTTTATTTGTAGTAATACAAAAAGCATACATTGACCAATGCAATGATGGAAGTGCATTTCGCTCGCTAAGTATATTTTGGTGTTGATGACAACGTAATTTGCGGGCTAACCGCGTGCTTGATTTACACACACATCTATATGGCACAAGACGCTTAGTTACCCCTTTGGAAAGAAGAGATCAAAGACAGCATTTTCGACGCTTTTATTTCTTCGGATGTAGGAAATCGGTCCTATTAAAAGGGGGGCCGTGTTGGAAGGTACGGGTGGAATCAAATCATGTACACAAATCTCATATTGCACCCACCTAGCCTTCTTATCTGATTTTGAGGAGAGAACTCAAATCTGCTTTGCACTGAAACTACTCACCCAGTTGTACTGTTAGGGGCAGTGGTTTGTACCGCTCACTTGTGAAGTTGGGCAAGTTCTATCCACCCAAGCTAGTGTACCGCTCTAGCTTTGAAGCGGCACAATACAAACTTTGCTCTAATTTGCGACGGTTCAACTGTGTCATGTATAACTCTTTTTCGTCACAAAAAATACAGTGACGATGTTTTCTGACTGTCACCCCCACCGTCACTGAAGCGCCGTCATAGAGAATAAAATCTTGATGGTACCACTTCCTCCGTCATGCAAGATCGTATATTAGGTGATGGGCGAAAAACCGTCGACTAAACTATCTTCTACGCCGGCCAAGAAATGTCACTACACCAACTTATCTGCTAATGTGGCAATGGAAGATGAGGTTGTTCATTTGATCATAGTGCACAAAGAGAAGAAGAAGCATGGAGGAGGAGAGATTGATCCCAGTACCCTGCGCCGCAGTATCAGAGCTAATCGTTACGATGGCTTCAAGGCCACGTCCATGGCGGAGGGGCGACAATACAATATCAAGGTCAAACCTCGCCAAGTCCCCGTTGCTCCAACCCAGTCCACCACTACCTTTGCGGCGCCAGGCGTGATCCCTCCTCCGACGTCCATCCAAATGTTGCAGCGGATTGGTACGACGCGCTACGGCATCCCTGTTGAGGAGCTCTCTCCTGCCAAGCTTCTAGCGACACAGGAGAGTGCGCCGTCTTCCTCAACCTAGCTTCCATGACCCTGTGCCTTCAGTGGAACGTGCTAGCTTGGAACATTCATGGAATAAATTCGGACAATAAGACTTTAATGATTAAGAATGTGATCAGTGCCTCTGGTTGTAATATCGTTTGCTTGCAGGAGAATAAGCATGCATCTTTTGATCAGACTTATATTAAAACTTTTTGCCCGCGTCGGCTTGATAAGTTTGCTTTTTATACCTTCTTGTGGTGCATCTGGTGGCTTAATTATTATCTGGAATGGCTCTGCATTTGATGGAAATGTTCCTTTTCAGATTTCTTTGCATTGGGTATTGAATTTAATTCCAAAGTTTTGGGACATTCATGGAGTTTATTCAATGTGTATGGGTCATGCAGTGGAGGGGACCGGATGTTATTCACCAATTGGTTGTATGATTTAGTAATCCCGGATACTGATGAATGGCTCTTAGTGGGGGACTAAATTTTTACGAGATCCTCCAATAATCGAGACAAACTAGGGGGTAATGCAAATGATATTCTGCTCTTTAATGATATCGTCCGGGCACAAGCACTAATTGAAATACCCTTGAAAGGTAGATCTTGCAGTTGGAGCAACATGCAAACAGACCCACTATTGGAATAGATAGACTGGTTCTTTTCCTCCTGCCATTGGACATGATCCTTCCCAAACACCATTGTCACAACACTTGGGAAACCAGTGTCGGATCATACTCCGTGTGTGGTGAACATTGAAACTTCAATCCCCAAGAGAAAAAAAAACAATTTGAAAACTATTGGATCAATCACCTGGGATTTCTTAATGTGGTCAAATCCTCTTGGAATAAACCCTGCCATGTCAACAATAGTGCCGCTTTGTTATGTAGAAACACGAAATATTTGTGATCTGACCTCAAGAGCTGGAATAAATGAAGGAAATATACCCTATAGGCAATAATAAAGTTGTTATTTATATATTCCTTATATAATGATAAATGTCTATTATTCATGCTAGAATTTTATAAACCAGAAACTTAGTACATGTGTGGTACATAGACAAAACAAAGTGTCCCTAGTATGCCTCTACTTGACTAGCTCGTTAATCAAAGATGGTTATGTTTCCTGACCATAGACATGTGTTGTCATTTGATGGACGAGATCATCATTAGAGAATGATGTGATGGACAAGACCCATCCGTTAGCTTAGCATAATCATCATTTAGTTTTATTGCTATTGCTTTCATCATGACTTCTACATGTTCCTCTGACTATGAGATTATGCAACTCCCGAATACCGGAGGAACACCTTGTGTGCTATCAAACGTCACAACGTAACTGGATGATTATAAAGATGCTCTACAGATGTCTCTGAAGGTGTTTGTTAGGTTGGCATAGATCGAGATTAGGATTTGTCACTCTGTGTATCGGAGAGGTATCTTTGGGCCCTCTCGGTAATCCACATCACTATAAGCCTTGCAAGCAAGGTGACTAATGAGTTAGTCACGGGATGATGCATTACGAAACGAGTAAAGAGACTTGCCGGTAACGAGATTGAACTAGGTATGATGATACCGACGATCGAATCTCGGGCAAGTAACATACCGATGACAAAGGGAACAA